CAATTAGAGCATTACGCTACATAAAACTAATTTTGAACCGATGGCAATTTTCCTGTCAGATGGTGGAAAAATGGAAACCAAATGACGGACAAAATCTCCTGTCGCTTTTCGTGGCTGGATGACAAAAATCGGATTTACATGGAAGAGATCACTTTTATTGCTTAACGCTTTGTCCTAATCAGCAGTGAAGTAATAGTGTTATCCAAGTATCATAGTACTCCGACTTGAAAAGCTTTATCCCTTGCTAATGGAAATATGAGAAATTGCACTGTAATTTTTCCTATCTCTCTCTCTCTGTTTGTCACTCTCAAGATTGCTGTTTATATCAAGATTAAAGATAAGTGGGAACTGATAGCATAACTATCATTTATTTTTATCCTTAAAACTTGAACTTTTATATGTAGTAAAACATAAAGGATGCGAAATGAAAATATAGTAGAAATTACCCACGCATTGATGAGTGGTTCACACATTTCGGTGATGCTTTAATGTACTTTTTAACAAGAAGATTGTTTAATTGTTTGCATCGTCATTGTACAATTGTCACCCTCATCATCGAATGTGCTTTTTTTCAATAGTGGATCTGCTGACTGTGTAGGAAGTTATTATTCTAATGGTAACATTGAAACAGCACAATTTATCATCACTTCCTCAAAAATAAGATGTGTTTGTGAAACAAAGCTCCATATTTCCAAATTGGCCTTAAATCCATAACAATATGGTGTAACTGGCCAATTCTCAGGGATTACTAGGGCTTGGCGACAAGGCATTGCAGGCTATCATTAGCCAGGCGTTCACCAGAGACGTGTCTGTCTGCCGCATGCTCTTAGCTCGCTGTCAATACCTGCACTTAACAGTGAAAACAGATGTTCATCTTCCATTCCTCCTCCCACGTTGAGTGTCACCTGCGTCTTAACAAGCTGTTTGTCGCTAGTGCTGCAGGGGGCTGGGTGGGATATTCTGGTGTCTGTGTTCATTAGCTGCCTCTAAATCTTGCTCACACCTGGATTCCTAGTCACCACCGTTTCTCTGTGTGACAAACATAGAAGAGAAGTGAGGCTTCAGCTCAGGCAATGACAGGGCTTCTCGGCTAATTTCTGGCTTGGTAATCTCAAAATACAAGTGATTGGCAAAGATTGAACCTCAAGTTCATCCAAGAGATTACTTGGATTTAACACCCTAAACACAGTAATGCTGCCTACTCACTGGCTATGAGTGTGTGTGCGCCTTGTATATTATGTGTATACTGTTAAAATATCAATGTAAACTCAAGTTGATAATTCTGCAAATAACTGCAATCGCAGATTTCAAACAGAGATGGCGACAAAGTAGAAAAACTGCAGACTGCATCTTTAATATCTGATTATTTCGAAGAAAATTATTTGAAATTGCTTGCTTTCCAACATCCTTTTGTATGTCATGTTTTGGCCAATATCTTTATTTGTTTGTTTTGTTTTTTGTTCTCTTTGCTGTGGTAGACTGAAAACACACATTACCTTATACTTAACAATTCGCATTGCTCTTGGTTAAACATACCCATTCATCCTTCTGCAGAAGGCTTTTAGCAGCTCTTACGTTAAAGTGTTACTGTACGTGACGTGGCTTGATGTGAAGGTAACCCATACTCTGAATTTGTCCTCTGCATTTAACCCCTCCATGTTTGTGCACACACATTAGCAGCAGTGAATAGTGAACACACACATCCGGAGGTGCCTTGCTCAGGGGCATCACAGTCATGGGTATTGAGGATGGAAGAGAGCGCTGTTCATTCATTCATTCCCCCACCTACTTTTTCCTACTGGTTTTGAGAATCGAAGTCTGACTAATCATTAGGCCACGACTGCCCTAAAGATTTTATAGCTCTGATTTGTTTCTTCCAGCTGAGCAGTGGTAATCATAATACAGTAAATCCAGAGATTGTCACTGTGCTAAGAATGACTGCCATCAGAATTAAATTAGCATAGTGGTCTATCCTATGTATTCTGGGGCAATAAAGGTGACTGATGCTTATAAACTGCTGTGAATCCGGTACAGATTTACATTAAAACAACAGCATCATGTTCTTAAACTCTCATTCTATCTAAGGGATTTGACTAGTTATACGAAGAGGCTCACCTGACACTTAAGTCTTGATTTTTCGAGCTGTTGTGATTTGTTTCGAGTGTTCATTATGCTGTTTCATTGAGGTCCTCTCAAAACCATTTTTTTTCCATGGTTCATATCCTTCTTCAACTTTTCTTGTTCTCCCTTTTATCTTTATTTCTCCATTCACTCGTCTGACAAGGGCTTTTGAAGCTAGGTCATGAGAGCATATAATAATGCCATTATGATTCACTGATCTTCTACTGGAGCAAATGGCCCCTCCTTCCCTGAGCGAGCCACTTTTTAAAACCAACAGCGCCGACGACGATTAGCCTGGCTCTGTCCTGGCTAATGAGCTCCTTGTTAAAGTTTAATGTCTGTGTTCCACTGCAGTCAAGAATTTTAAGCGCCGGCTCCGACTCTCTTCTGGGGAAGTGTGCCACGTTGGGCTGTTATTCGTGAGCATGCTGATGATGCTGTTAGTTTTGCACTTACAAACATATCCCAGTTCTTTGGCCTGAGGGCTGGAGCTTTGAGGATTATTATGAGTGCTTAGGAACTTTTAATCTCAAGCTGTGTGTTTTAAGCACACTATTCCTCTATTACTTGTTGTAAGTCAGTGATTCTTCTTTGTTTGTTTGTTTTTTGATAAATTGAGGGTTACTCAAGGCTTTTTCGGTAATATGTCCCGGTTTGATATTCTAAATGGACAGTTCACCCGAAAATGTAAATCCTGTCATTATTATGTTAATCCAAACCTGTATGACTTTGTCTCTTCTGGCGCATACAAAGATGATATTTTGAAGAATCTTTCAGCTCTTTGCCTGTACAGTGAAGTCAATGGTGTCTAAACAACATGGCATCCCACTTGTCAGAGTTTTTGACACTTTTCTCCAAAACACGTAGGCCAAAATTATTGGCACCCTTTTATTAAATATTTTTTGCAACCACCTTTTTCTGTTATAATACCTGATCAGTTTGAGGAACACATTTTGTCATTCAGAATCTCTCCAGATTCCCAGTTAGGTCCAATCATTTTCTATAGGGTTCAGGTCAGGGGACTAGAATCTTGGGAGAAGCTTCATTTTCTGCTCATTGACACATTTTTGTTTATTTTGATGTTTGTTTTAGATCGTTGTCCCGATGAAAGATCCAACCAAGATCCATTATAAGATTTCTAGCAGAGGCCGTCAGGTTTAGATTTTTTTTTTATCTATTGGTACGTATTTGCTATTGGATCCATGATGCCATTTATCTGAACAAGATGGCCAGGACCTCCTGCAAAAAAAGGCCCACAACATTAAAGATCCTGCCGTATATTTAACTGTGGGCATACTTTTTATGCCTGTTTGCACCAAATCCATCTAGTGTGTCTGCTGCCAAAAATCTCTCTTTTTTTTTTTTTCATCGGACCATAGAATCCGTTCCTATTAAAAGTTCCAGTCGTGTCTGACAACTGTATATGCTGGAGTTTGTTTTTGGATGAGCGAATCAGCATGTGCTGATGTAGGGTTTGTTTTATTTTTTATTCATTTTTCATTCATTTCATTCAGACCCCAAAACTCAACTAATTTCTGCAATTCTCTATCTGTGATCCTTGGAGAGCCTTTGGCTACTCAAACTATCCTCCATATAGACACGCATACTCTTCCAGGCAGATTTGTGACATCTTTAGTTGATTGGAACTTCTTAATTATTGCCTTGATGGTGGAAATGAGAATTTTCAATGCTTTAGCTATTTTCTTACAGCCACTTTCTATTTTGTGAAGCTCAACAATCTTTTGCTGCACTTCAGAACTGTCTTCTTTGGTTTTACTCATTGTGGTGGATAATTAAGGGAATTTGGCTTTTGTGTTTCCTCATATTTAAACTCCTGTGAAACAAGAAGTCATAGCCTATTTCTTGTTCCTAGTCACCCTGGTGTGCTAAAAAAACAAAACAAAACAATATTAATGGAAATATACTTCAGAGGTATTTTACTCATAAAAAATTCTATAGGGTGCGGACAATGTGTTCTGGAGAAAAACATTTATTTCATAATGTGATTTTACCCCCACTTTCAATTCTTTCACAATGAAAGGTTCGATCTTTGCAAATTCTTTGAAGGAAAGATCAAAATGATAAACAATGTGGATTTAGTTTTACTGCCATCTTTGATCATTTACTTGGGGTCCCAATAGTTCTGACCACAACTGTACTTTTATTTAATGCAAACAAAACACAGAGACATTTTTTTTTTTATGTCTGGGTGAAATATCCCTTTAGGGATTTTCTAACCAATTTCTAGTCTGCTACTCTGATATGTTTAATCTTTGTCATCCTGCTCAAAATGAAGCTTGAGCTATTTAGTGCAGAAATAATATTTGCAGTCAGAGTGCATTTTAATTTAGGCCATTATGACATTTGAAGAAGCCGTCGGGTGGAAACATGTCATGTACAACTTTAATGTTTATTTAACTCACTTTCTCAAGTTACGCTTTGAAATTTTCCAGTAGGCAACTTTTAATCATGGATTAATCACATCCAAAATATATACATTATTATACAGTATATACATAATATATGTGTGTAGTGTGTATAATTATTTTGTATATAAAAATACACCCATATGCATAAATATGTATTTAAGAAATATTTGCGTGTATACATAATTAAATTTATGTTGCATATAAATAGAAATATTTTATTTGTTAATAACACATTTTTCTTAAATATATACAAGCATGTGTGTGTATTTATATATACAAAATAATTATACACAGTACATTCACATATACTTATATGTAAACACAATCACAATTTTGGATGATTAATTGTTGCCCCAGTTGTGTTTGACAAGTGAATAATCTTTTGCATGTCTGCACAAACATTCAGCATTCTCGGAAATGAATAAAATGTGCCTTTTTTCTCATCTCTAGTGATCATGCTGGAGTGAGGGGACACAGAAGATCTATATGATCTTTTGGATGTGAAGTTCTACAATTTGCTGAGTTGACGAGATCAAGGAAGACTGGAAGACAAGCGAAGAAGTGAAGGAAGGAGGGACGGAAAGAAGGAAGGAGTTGGTTGGACTGGCTAAAGGGGGAAAAAGAAGGGCTGGATGCTAGCCTCTATTTATTCTAGAAGTTCCCAGGTTCCTCAGAGATGGCCTCCAACTTCAATGACATTGTCAAGCAGGGCTATGTCCGCATGCGGAGCAGGAAACTGGGGGTGAGTCAGTAGCTTTTCAGAGCACTTGATCTTGATTTTTTTTTTTTTTTTTTTTTTTTTAACTTGTCTTTTCAGGTCAAATTAATTGTATCAATTAATGTTCTATTCATTATTTTTATTTATTTTAGAGTTTTCTTTTAGTTTTAATAATCATTTTAGTTAAAAATATTTGGATTTGAAACAATTTCAATGAATACAAAGAAAGTAATACAATAATACAAAGTAATACTTTGAATTAAACATGATGTTATCAAGTTGAAAGGCTCATAAAATATATTTTTTAGTGTAGCATTCAAATTTTAGTGGTAGCATTTAGTGAATTAGCTTATTATAGCGTATTATTATTATTATTATGCCATGTAGAATATTTTATTTAAGTTTTTCACAATTATGATGTTATTTTTATTTTATTATTTTTTAATTTGTTTTTCTTTTAAATATTTTCCTGTGTTTGTTTTAATGTTTCCGTTAATAATGATGCTGGGGCCAAACATCATATATCAGTTTGTGTGTTGGTCAGCATTTGCTTTAATGGTGTGTGATGGGCAAGGTAATGAAAGCATTGCTGTATGTGGCGTCAAAATGTCCAAGTATTATTTCATACAGATCAATTCAGACATCTTGCACAAAATATTGGCTAGGTTTTACTGGATAATTGCATATTTTTGAAGAGATTGAGCAAATGATTCCCTTGGAATAGGCTTGTGAACCAATAATGCTGCAGGACATAGGGGGACTACATTCATACTACTAACTTAGCCGGATCTCTGGCCTGGAGACCTCATTACAGCTTAACAATCTTCCGCTGACAGGAGCTTCAGCCTTACAGGGTCTGAGAGCATCTCCTCCGCTGTCCCAGTTAGTTACACTTGCATAAGTTTTGCCTCTGGAAAAATCTCATTCTTTCTTTCTTCTTCTTTTTGTCATTTTACTTGTCACTTTTCATTAGTATTTCATTCTGTTTGTCTCTTGCTTTATTTCCATTACAATCACTTTCCATTACGAGTTTTCCTGCTCTGCATATGCTTTTATGATTACAAGCATATGTTTTTAAACATGTTTAAAACATCCAGGTTTTCTGGATGAACCGCATTGATGTTTCAGAAGGTCTAAAAAGACCAGCCTTACCTTGTCTAGTGACTTTCTGAGTGCCTCTCGAGCTCATGCAGGTCGATGGCTGAATTATATAGTCAGCAGGATTGTGGTTATCGTGGCAGCAGTGGGGTTGTGACACATGGTCCCCCTGGGGAACGCAGTGCTAAGTAATCTAAGAGAGGAGAGGTTTATATTTTACAATTTCCTTCTCTTTTTTTTTGGTACCATTTATTTCTCCTCTCCCTTCATTCTCTCTTTTATTTCTCTTTCTTCTTGTTCCTTTTGCACATGAACATCTTGTATCTGCATCTATGCTTTTCTTTGTCTCTCCTTTTTGCTTTCCTGTGCTGCGCAAACTCAAAACGGGCACTGTTCCTCCATCATTGTTTAACAAATGGCTTCCCTAATTGGAAGTCAATTTCCTTCGTCTATTTAATATTATGCAAGTGCACGTAATGCAAGGACAATATCGTAAATCCCCGCTTATGCACAGCTAATACTATTTACATCCATGCTGCCTCTGCTCTGATTTGGCGGCAGCAGCAGTGAGTGTGTGGCGGCATTTGCATTTGTGTCTGAGCTGTGACAAAGCCCTACCTCTCTCTCTCTCTCTCTCTCTCTCTCACACACACACACACACACACTCACACACACACACACACACTGGCTGTAGAGGAACTAACCTTCACAGATTGCTTGGTGTTTTAATCCATTATCATTGGCAAAAGCTCCCACATTACAGCATTTTCATCATATTATCCATCTGAGAGTTTTATTGAATACGCTGATTTCACGCAGCCGCCATTTTGAAATCGAAAGCGAGGCTCCGGTGGGATGAACCCCGGAAATACAGATAAACAACAATGCCTTGGACTACCAACCTGAAGCTGCCGCCGCGATTTAAAACTATTGGATGTTAATATCCAATATGGGATATGTATATAGTTCCTGCTTCTTTTTTGCGTTCTGAATTATATTTAAAAATAATTTTATTTAATAACCATCATTGATAGTATAATGAGAACATCACCAGAGGACTGAACACATTTTTTAAAGACAATTGAAATTTTTGTATATTTATAGTTTTGTATAGTTTCCACACAAAAACGTTAAGCAGCACAACTGTTTTTAACATTGGTAATTATATGAAAATGTTTCTTGGATCATGTGACACTGAAGACTGATGTAATAATGCTAAAAAATTCAGCTTTGATCACAGGAATAAACTACATTCTAAAATATATTAAAATACGAAAGTCATTTTAAATTGTAATATTTGTTTGTTTTTGTTTATTTTTGATTAAATGAATGTAGTCTTGGTCAGCATAAGTACTAAATAATGTACTAAATTAAGTGAATACATGTAATAATTACAATTTTTTCACTGTTTGAAATGTATTCTGCGTCAAGGGTACGCTGTAGAGTACGGCGTAGGCTACGCACATAGGCGACGCCGTCGTGAGCATTTATACTTCTGCGTTCTTGGTTGCTCTGCAGTACCGATCCGAAACGCTAGTTGGTGGTGGAGGGTTTTAATTCCTCGCGGCTAGGTTACTACAAGCAATGGCGACTGAAAGAGAGCGGATCATGGTGGAGTTGGAGTTTATTGAGGTGGAAAAACAGTTAATTTTAGTAAAATTACTAAAACTAAAAGGCAGAAATGAGAGAAGACTTCGGAGGAGATGGTACATGCAGAAATGCGTAGGAGGAAATGCAATGCAACCAAGCCGACCAATCACAGATCTTGCGGTCCGCACCGTCGTGACGTGTAGTTAAATTTTTGAGGATGTGCGCGTCATGCTACTGCGAAGGATACGCGGTATGGTACGCGTCTGTGCGTATGCTACGCCGTACCTACAACGCGCACCCTACGCAGAAGTATAAATTGGCCTTTAGTCGCTATACATGTTGCATAAAGCATCTCGGTGTGTCTCAGCCTTTCATCACTGTTCCAGAGCACTGTCTCTATATCCCTTCCCCCTTCTCCACCTCCCTCACCAAACTCCCTGTGCACCTCTAGGGATGCTAATTAGCCAGACTATATACCTCTCTATCTCTCCCTCCCCTTTTCACTGTCTATCTCTGCGGCCCACTTAGGGACCAAGAACCCCAATCAGACTAATCAGAGCTCTGTTTAGCATTCTGTTTGGGTATCGGCAGCCCAGGATCGCCGGCCTCACTGCCATGCTGGAATTAGCCTAATTGCTCCTCAGCCACTGCCAGCTCTTTTTAGTGCATTTGCAATCGTAAACGGCCCAATACCAGGCATCACAATTGTGAAACAACCCCAGACATTAGATGGGGAGAGGGGGTTGGTCGATGCTGGTGACAAAGACCAAAAATCAAACGGACATACATTGCAACACGCGCTTAGCCCAACAGGTTTCAATGGACATAGCCATTTTAAATGTAGTCTCACCTGAGAGGAAGTGGTTTAATTTTAGCTTCAAGCATAGCAGCAACTGTTGTTAAAATAGTGTCATTATTCCTTTGACTATCCTTAGATGCCAAGCTAATTTTTTTCAGATCTCAGAGGAAAAGCAGATGAGAGATGAACAGCTGACAAAAATGCATAAATGGATTCATACCAAGGGCAAACAGCCTCATTAGTCATTATAGGCTTATTATCCTATGAAATGTTGGCACATTCTGCCACTGTTTTATCTCTGCTTCTTCCTTCCAATAAATAAGCCTTTCACTGTTTCAGTTTAAACTTTGAATTCTCCCTCTGCCTCCATACGCCGTTATTGTGTTCCTTCATTCTATCTCTTATTATGACATGCAGTAAGCACTTGAGATAAGTGTTGTGTATTCCTCCATGCATTATTCCCCCATGTTTTTAACACATTTGCTTTGACTGCCATGACAATTTATTTTCCATGTAGAGGTTTAAGGGTTAAAGCAAGACAATATGAAGATAACTGCATGTTAATACAGAGTACATTTACAGTGTGAGAAGACTGACCCTGAAACATAATTAGCCTGGTTACCATGGTTTCTTCCAAAAATAAGGAAGAAGCTCAATTATGCTGTAAGCCATATAATAATTGAGAAAAATAACATTCAAAATCACACTGTTGTTGTAGCCTTGCCAATATTTAGTACTGTGGTATAATTGCGAGTGAGATCATTGCTTTCATACAGCAGCTAAAAGCAATAAATGAATATAAATGATCTGACATCTCAGACACAGTTTGGCCATTTCATTAATGTTTGCTTTGGAAAAAAATGGATACAAAAACAAAGCAGGGTTGAAATTGGAATTGCAATAGCATGCAGCAAACGCAAATAAGTGGAGTCAAGTTGCTATAGACTGCTGTTCAAAAGTTTGAAGAAAGCCTGTTAAGCTCTCCATATATTTGATCAACAATACAGTAAAACTTGTAATATTGGGAAATATTAAAATTTAAATTGAAATGTAATTTATTCCTGTGATGACGAAGCTAAATTTTCAGCGTCATTACTCCAGTCTTCAGTGTCACATGATCCTTCAGAAATCATTCTGCTCAAGAAACATTTATTATTATCAATGCTGAAAACAGTTGTGCTGCTCAATACTTTTGTGGAAACCATGATACAATGTTTTTTTTTTTTAGGATTCTTTGCTCAGAAGTGACCTTAAAGACATTTATAATGTTGAAAAAGATTGAATTCTCCAAAAATGCTGTTCTTTTGAACTTCCTATTCATCAACTTAACACATCCTCGCTAAATAAACATGAATTCCTTCAAAAACAAGTCACACTAACGTTTGAACAATAGTGTAGGATCTCCTTCAAACAGTATAAAAAAAACTTCGGTCTACTTTCATTAATTTCAATTTCTTTTTACTGACAGTGGTGGCTATAATACCAAGTTAATTGTAGTCATATTTACACGTGATACCTTTTTTGTTTTTAAATATGAGTGACACCAGGACGGATTGTATTTGGTTTGGTGTGTATTAGCCTCTACGTTTGTGTATAATTGTTGTGCGGACAGATATACAAACAGCAAAGCAACAGTGGGAAAGAGCACGTCTCACCCACACACATACACTCGGTCGCTCTCTGCTGATGTTGTTGTTCAGTCTGTTTACAGAGGATTAGTGGAACCTCAGGGGACAATATGATGCAAACAAGGGATCAATCTTTTACCTGCTGTGAATGGAAAACCATGCAGCAAACTTTCTCCATTTTTCCATAAGATGGGTCCAAGCATTCGAGTGGCAATAACATCAGGTCAGCAGCTTAGATGACAAAAACAAAAGCTCATCAGCTCTGTTCAGATTTCTATTAATCATCTCGGCAGGAAGTTGGCCACGCTGTAAGATGCATGAAACTTCCTATGGTGAGATTTGATCATTTGGACTCCAAATCACCAATTTCATTAATGGACAGTAGGGTTAAAAGCATGTGGACTCGCTAGTTAAGCCTCTCTGTTGTATTTGAGGGGCAATGCAGGCCTTTCATTATACAAGCTTGATGACTAATGCAATGTTTATGACTGTGTGAGTCAGAATGTAACTTCATTTAAAAACAGTCTAAACACCAGGGAATTTGATCAGAGTCTAAACACGTTGACTTTAATTCGCTCTTAAGGGTTACTGAGGCAAAAATGACAAATAATTCCCTTGTGAAGAATAAAAATTTGGTTAACTCAATTCAGTAACCGTGGTTAAATCCTGGTTTACTCAATTAAGCTCAGATGTTATAGTTGCTCTCTCGCCGTTCTTGTCATCTTCATCATCAGGCTGTTCTGACAAGGATTGTAATGGTTGTTGAATAGATGTTAAAGAAATAATATTGTTCGGGAACAATTTCCAGTAGATTGCAGTAAGATGGGTGTACGTGATGACCTGTGATGATGATGGAGAGCGGAACTGGCCTTGGGATAGCTGGAGCACTTGCCTAAATGGACTGGGGTTACCGTGGCAACTGTAGGATTTGTCATTGAAGGACATCAGAGGTATAAACAGAAAATGGCTTTTATGGCAGGAGGTCGATTGAGGGAGAGAGGGTGTTTACAAAAGATAAAGACAGATCACATCTGGTGTGGGTTTAATTAGGAGCTTTCATATTGTACAAACAACACATTGGTCTAGCAGAATAACTTGTTTTAGCTTTGGAATGAAATGTTCTTCTAAGCCAGTAATTTTTTTTTTTTTACCCATATATTTGTAATGAAGTGCAGCTCTTTGTGCCACACACTGCATCATACTGTATTGTACATTACCCATACAGTACGTTTCTCAGTGTAGATACAAAAATGACAAATCCTATTGTGACTTTCAGTGCTCAAATGTTTGTTTTGTGGATTTTTTTTTTAAGAAATAATACTTTTATTTGCAAGGTGCCATTAAATTGATCAAAATTGACAGTAAAACATTTATAATATAAAATGCATTATCATGATCGTGTGACATTGAAGACTGGAGAAAATTATGCTGGAAATTCAGCTTTGCCATCACAGAAATAAATTACATTTTATAATAGATTAAAATAAAATATTTCACAAATTTATTGTTTTTTTGTTTTGTTTTGATCAAATAAATGCAACCTTGGTTAGTAGTTTAAGAGAAAAAAAACAACCTTGAACTTTTGAACATTAGTGTATCTGTATCCGTCAATGTTATTTTACAATATTTCTACTTTTTTAATAACTCTAATCTTTTGCAAATCAATTTCAGTGGACAAAATAGTGAAGTTACTGATAGTATCAGCCAAAATATCAATAGGCTGCATTTTTATTTTAAAAGTCCCTTAACACTGAAATCATTGATTTACTCACTAATGCCAATTTCTACTTTTAGGACATGGTGTCGTGAGTGTTATTTTCGGACTTCATGTGGTGATGTGCATGTTTATTTCAGATCTATCGGCGCTGCTGGCTGGTGTTTAAGAAGTCGTCCAGTAAAGGACCTCGTAGACTGGAAAAATACCCTGATGAGAAATCAGCCTACATCAGAGCCTGTCCTAAGGTATACCTCTCACTGCAACAGTTCTTAACTAATCTAAGCTTTGAAAACGTCACGAGACATGTGAAAGATTCGAGGAAAACATTCAAGTGTCGCTTTATTTCTCCAATTATACTAACAGCCGCGTAGAGCGCATTCATACTGCGAGGGCTGGCTGGCGAGATTACGAGACGGGCGGTGTGTAAACAGATACATTTTTGAATAAAAGTATCTATGCGCAAAGACTCTCATGAATTGCTGTAACTTTGCTGACTCATGGTCCTCCGGTTTCTGTGTGTTTATCGGCCTCATTTGCCTTTCTTGACTGCACTCTGCTGCTATAGACCGTGAAAGATAAATTAGATGATTAAGAGACCGCAAGTGCCTTTCCAAATGATGCGAATGAAGTTTGTCTGAATAACTAGGCTCTGTCAGTACTTTCGAGTTTGCATCGGTTGCCTTTTTTATGTTCACACACAGGTGACAGAGATTAGTAATGTGAAGAACATCACAAGATTGCCTCGTGACACGAAGCGGCAAGCTGTGGCCATCGTCTTTACAGACGACACCTCTCGAACCTTCACCTGTGAATCAGGTACATCATCTTCAACTAAGGCTTGTTGTGCTGCTGCAGCAGCTGATGATGATGCTTCACTTAAAGAAGCTCTCATTCTTAACATTAACATTGCATTAGCAGTCAATACAGTCTGATGATGTGCTGCTCTCAGGCACATTGACACACTGCATCTCCGAGTGTATGTTTTATTCATAGAACACATTCATTGAAAGAACATGCTCATTCATTGACATCATTGAATCTTTCTGTTTTCCCAGAGCTGGAGGCTGAAGAGTGGTTTAAAACCTTGTCTATTGAGTGCCTGGGGACACGTCTTAATGACATCAGTCTTGGAGAACCAGACCTCCTTGCTGCTGGAGTTCAGTGTGAACACACAGGTAAGAGACTAAAACCTGCTGGATCCATATCGTTTTTATTTTTGCTACAGGAATCCAGTATGGCCTCAGATTTGTGACAACATGGTAGCACTTAGTTTAATCTACACTGTCAAAAAGTGCCCTGTTAAATTTACGGTATTGATGGCATATTGATGCCTGTGTATTTTACTGCTTGAAACAATATATTTCAATATACAACAGTTAGTTCTGGTCCTTGAATCTGATTGGTGAAGAAGTCTTCCGGGAGTGCTGATATATCACTGGTATTCAGCAATGGGACTGTTCATCATTTGTCATTACTGCAGTCTAGACAGGCAGTGTTTCTCTCAGCGAGCGGCAATGACGAAGGAAAAAAAGCTACAATAATTCTTAGAAATACTACTATTGGTCAACCCGGTCTCATCCCAAATCGTCATATAACTGACGTTTTGGGACGTCTTTTGACCATACGTCAATATTCGCCTTTTTAGGGCCCCCTTAAACGTCGGTAGATGAGGTTATGGGATCCTAACTCTACCCCAGACCTAAACTTAACCCTAAACCTAACCCGTCACCTAACTGACGTTAAAGGTAAAGCGTCAGTTGTATGACGGCCCGGGATCGCCATCTACCGACGTTTAAGGGGGCCCTAAAAAGGCGGATATTGACGTATGGTCAAAATACGTCCCAAAACGTCAGTCATATGACGATTTGGGATGAGACTGTGTTATATTGGTTAGTCTTGTCGGATTAGTCGGATTATATAGTTTTAAGAGTTCTTCAGGTGAGAATGTTGCTGTTTAAACCTCAAATCTGTGGTTTATTTTTATGAAGATGGCACCAATTTGAAAATTTGCAACAAGGTTTTCGCAGTTGTGAGGTCCGGGCGCGTGCACCGGGCACTGCGGTCAGCACTTGTGAGAACAGCCTGATCTCTGAGAGTCCTTTTGACATTTGCCGCTGGCTTTGATGTCTCTGTAGTGGTTCAACGTGATATTTAATTAGTTAATTTTGTGTGTATTTAAAGTGCAATCTTTGGTCAATCTAATGTATATTTCTAATAACAATAAACAGAAGATACTCTATTATTAACTATAAACTAGATTAGAATCATAAGTGGTGTCAGGGACTTCTGGGAAAATCCACTGGTTTCCATCATACGGTAATTCATAATTTTTTTTATCATGCAAAAACAAAAATTTGACAGTTTAGTAAATTTAATGCAATATTAAACCATTTACAGTGTTCTTTTACCATATATGATAAGGTAACTTACAGATAACAGGTTAACAGGTTCTTAATAGCCTTTTTCAGTTTTCTTTTTTTTTTCAGTAAGAATTACAAAAAAAATGTACAGCATAGGAACCAAAATATTACCCTTCTTCACTATCAGTCTCGTTGTTTTTTTCTTACAGAGCGCTTCAACGTGTTCCTGTTACCCTGCCCTAATCTTGACATCTACGGAGAGTGTATGATGCAGATCACGCATGAAAACATCTACCTGTGGGATATTCACAACCCTCGCACCAAGCTAGTAACCTGGCCGCTTTGCTCTCTGCGGCGCTACGGACGGGATGCTACACGCTTCACCTTCGAGGCTGGCAGGTAAAACCCGTTCAAGATATCATCAAAATTTAAACCCAATAACAAGTACCATTCACAGGAACTTGTGAAATTTGTAATGTGTACTTCACTTTGGTGTGGTCATGTATATGTAGGAGAAACGTGGAAGCAGAGGAGGGAGCCATTGAACTGTGGACCTCCTAAAAGGCTTTATTGAGTGGATTACAAGGAGTTCAATGGCAGATTAGGTGTTCTTATCTCTCTCACTGCTTTGATCAAATAATAAAAGAAGATTCGCATCGCCAGATGGATGCCCTTTGAGAGAGGTTTAGAGAGAAGCTGAGTCTGGTGTAACACTGACCCCTAGTGGCTATTTTACTGTAACACACAAAGCATGTGTAGGGTGATATTTCTTTGCAGTACATCACTTTTGCATTGTTTGATTGTGTGTTACTATCTTGTTTGATTTTGTGTCAGGATGTGTGACAGCGGGGAGGGCCTGTACACTTTCCAGACACGAGAAGGAGAGCAAATCTACCAAAGGGTTCATTCTTCTACTCTAGCTATAGCTGAGCAGCATAAGAGGGTCCTTTTGGAAATGGAAAAAAACAGCAAGGTAATGAAAGCATACTAAATCTCAGACTAGATTAAAATAGATTTAGTTAAATAATATTTAAAAAGAAATTTTTGACACTTTAAAATCAAGACCCATTTAAAAAAAAAGTCTGCACTCTTTCTAGTTCACTATAAACTATTTTTGACATTAACCTTGATGTCTTTGAACAAAAAAAAACATTCTTTGAAAGGGGAGTCTCAAATAAATTATATACACTGCTGTTCATATTTATTTATACCGTATATTTGATCAAAAATACAGCAAAAACTTAAATATTCTGAAATGTTATTACAATTCAAAATAGTTTTCAGCATCATTACTCCAGTTTTCAGTGTCACATGATCAGAAATCATTTTAATATGCTGATTTGGGGATCAAGAAACATTTATTATTATCATCAATGTTGTAAGAAAGTAAAAGAAAGGAACAATGTGTGTCTTTACTGTCTCTTTTTGATCAAGTTAATACATTTTTGTTGAATTTTTTATTTTATTTTGAACGGTAGAGTAATTTGTAATGACTGTTTATCCTAGCTAAATAAAAGCATTATCACTTGAGGTCTCAGACACCACTGTACTACAGTTATATGCACACACACACACACACACACACACATACATAGTGCTTATTAAAACAAAACTGGAGAGATTGCAGTGCAAATCATCTGATTTTATTCCCGTAATAGAACTTTTAAAACATCAGAGCTGATACCATACTTTTGTGTTATAATCAACCTAAATTATATTATCTTCTCTCCCTCACTCATCTGTCCCCAGCTTTTATCTAAGGGTTCAGAGGGGACATCCTACCCCTGCACACCGACAGCAATCTTACCACGAAGTGCTTTCTGGCACCACATCACCGGATCTCAGGCTGGGGTGGACTCTGCCAACGGTGAGATTCAATCACATCCATAAGTGTGATGTATTTGTTTCACCAGCCATAATAATAGTCTGCCAGAAGTATTGTTGTTTGCAAAGAGTGCTCCTAGAACATGTCTTAAGAAATACAATTTAATACATATCCTTTCAAAGCAGCTTTACAGAAAATAAATGTGTCTACATTACAGTTTAGAGTGATCTGTTATCTATAAGAGAATGAATTCTCTCAAAAACATATTTACTTGTGAATTACTTACTTGTGTTAAGTCAAGTCACCTTTATTTATATAGCGCTTTTTACAATACAGATTGTATCAAAGCAGCTTCACAGTGATAACATGAAAATAATTCAATAAAGTTTGTTTCTCGAAGAAAATTACATCATCGTCCACCTTACTAAAATAGTAAACATTGATAAAGTGAGCATATTGAACAAGTATGAACTTAAAACTATATTATTTGAGCTACTCTGTAAAAAAATATTGTTGGTTTAACTTAAAAAATGAAGTAACCTGGTTGCCGTAAATTTTAAGTTCATTGAAATGAAAAAAAAAATGAGTTAAAACAATGAAGGAGATTGATTTAATCATCAGAAACTCAAAATATTATGTTATCGGAACTACGCAAATTATTTAAGTTGATTTGACAAAAGACATTTTTTTTTTTTTTTTTTTACAGTGGTATAACATGTGGTCCACATAATATACAGTGGTCCACCTTTTAAGTAAAGCAGAACAATAACATAGTTGAATATTAAATGTCCCCAACTAAGCAAACCAAAAAAAAAAAAAAAGCCAAGCCAAAAGTGGCAAGGAACCAAAACTCCATTAGGTGACAGAATGGAGAAAAAAACCTTGGAAGAACCCAGGCTCAGTCGGGGGCCAACAAGCAAACAGTGTATGATTATGATCCAGGCAGCATTACAGGTCAGAAGTCAGATTGGATCAGAACATTCAGAATATTAATCCAGTTCCATCTGGTTGGAAGTCAGAGTCATCACGCCGGTATGGAGACGAGTTTGTTGAGGATCAATGCCGATGGCTGTCGTGTCAATGAGGCCTTCACAGGGCTGATGAGACTGGCACTTCAGGGATGGGTCCAGGAGGTGCAGGTCCACCATCTTATTTGGATACGGCTGACTACAGTAAACAGGGAAGGGACTGGTTGACACTTCAGGACTGCGTTGTGATCGTGTCTAGGTGCAGGTCCTGCATCAGATCTGGGTCCGGCGGACTGCGGTACACCTCGGATAACACAGAGAGACTAATATTAGCATAGACGCTATGTTATGTTATGATGTAACAAGTACATCAGGATTTGTGGGGAGTGTTCCGGCTGAAGTCTATAATGTGTTATGTGTATGCTATGCCAAAGAGATGTATTTTTAGTCTAGATTTGAACTGACAGATTGTGTCTGGTTCCCGAACAATGTTAAGAAGATTGTTCCAAAGTTTTGCCGCAGTCGATTTTGATATCCTAGGTATTACCAACTGGCAACTGGAATTTTGAGATTGCAGTAGACGTCAAGGACTATAATGCGTTAAGAGCTCCCTCAAGTACTGGGGAGCTAAACCATTTAGTGCTTTGTAAGTGATCAACAGTGTTTTAAAATGTATACAATGTTTAAAAGGGAGCCAATGCAGTGTTGACAGAACCGGGCTAATATGCTGATACTTCCTGGTTCTGGTAAGAGAGATAATAACTCTAATAGAAAGTCAC